TTTTTTTCTTTTTTTTTTTGATTCCTCAGTGTTTGCTAAACGTTCTGTAATTTATTAGTCATTATATAGCCTAATACAGCGTGTAGGCCTATGCCATGCCTCATCTTATTCGTTTTTGTTAATAACGTTTTGTAAGCTAGTTTGTCATTGAATCTTACTGTTTTATTGTTGTTGTGCATTTTAATTAAAAATAATGAATCCATGTTTTTTTTTTTTAGTCTTAAAAGGTGAAAGGTGTATAAATGTAAGCTAAACAGACAATTATATTTTATTGTAAAACCTGACAAGATCGTGAAATCGAAAGTGAAAGCATCTGAAGCATCTTATAACATGGCAAAAGAGGAACTCCCGTTCACAAAATTCAAATCACAAATAATACTACTGATGAAAAAGAACGGGTTGAATGTTAACTACTTTCGTTTCCATATAACTAAACTAAGATAAAAGTTCATTAGCATGCATTGATTAATAGCATGTTGTAGCGCAAAAAAAAACAAAAAAAACATGCTGTGCAACCAACTGAAAAAGTTAATCGCAAAAGAGTGACCAGTGGTAACTATACACTACGATAAACGTTCATCAGCGTGCATTGTTGTAGCGCAAAAAAAAACGTGCTCGTGCAACCAACTGAGAAAGTTAATCGCAAAAGAGCGACCAGTGGGAAGAATGAGTCTGGAGCCCTGAATTGCCCAGCTCCCTCTGTCAATGATCTAGCACCCCCTCAGCACCTGCGTTCAAAATTCTCTGGCGCCGCCCCTGGTACATCGATGTATTTTTGTAAAGCAGAAATTAAGTTTGTCCAACTCTAAACCCAGTCCCCAAGTAAATTAGGTTATTAAATAAAAAACTAGCAAAACGAGTTGCGCGGTGTCCCCACCACTTTTCAAAGCAAAGTTACGCCACTGATTTAAAATATATTTTTTACTCAAATATACTGATTATCTGCTAACTCAAGAACAACATTCTCCTACATAGAAATAATATTCATTACATATTTTAAAGATTGCTTTTTTTTTCAATGCATTCACACTGTTTTTTTTTTCATAACAAAGAGTGTGGATCTCAGTGTTGAGATAAAATGTGAGAAAATGAGCAAAACTTGTAATTAGCAATAATTTTTGTATTAATTTTTAAAAATACATTCTCCTTTAAACCTCAAAATCTTTTTATTTTTCTGACAAACCAATACACTTTTTTCAGGCAGAGAGAGACTTTACATTTGAGCACATGTTAAATAAATATCGCTCAAACTTGTTTGTGATTGAAAATGTATGTGTTATAATTGCCTCCGGTCTTTCCTGCTTTTTTGTAAGGGGTCATTCCTCACCTGCATATGTTGTTACTGATTTGTCCTTGCATTGTCCTTTAATCTTTCTTCTCTGCCAAGAACAGAAATATTGTCCTGGCCAACTTTTCTCCACTGTCTGGCCTAAAAAAAGTGTGGGATTGGTAACCATGTCCTCTCCGGAGAGTCATTAATTGCACTGAATTTGATTGTGAGAACCTCACATTAGTATAATTACACTTGTGCAGGATTTACTCTAAGCTGTGGCTGCAGAATAATTGGATAGCTGTCCCTAAAGAAAGCCTACCGTACTCTCCGAAATCCAGGGGAAATTAGACCTCAGTCTAAAAGGCCCATCAAAGAGAAAGATTTAATAGACATCAGTGCTAATACAGTGACATAACATTTGTTTTGTTGAGACTGAATATTGCCGCTCTCTAATAGTGATCGTTCACACCAAACGTGAAGCGAAAAAGATGATTCAAACTTCTGTTCTGTCAACCAAGAGTGAAAAAAGTCTTGTTCAATTGATGAAACTTTCCATCTGTTTGTGTATATGTATAAACTCGGGGTTGCATGACTACTGTCCTTTTACTAATTGACTAGTTGGCCAAAAAAGCAGTAGACAAGTCTGTTGTGTTGTCCTGGTGGGTCAGGATCTGAAAAGGTCTACGAGGAGGGATTCGAACTCGGAAGACCCAAGGCACAACTGCTCCATATGTCGGCACGCTGTCCACAAGGCTATCGGCACTGACATAGTCAATAGTTTTAAGTATAAAATTCTATTATTGATTAAATAATGTATATTTTTAAATACATAAATAAATAGAGTGTATGTCTTTACGCCATTCGCAATGCTTCATGGGAGTGTGTGGTTGTTAATGAGCTCTTTTGCCTTGGATCTCATTTCCATGGTAACCATAGTTCTCTGAAGGGTAGATCCAAGGAGGATTGTGAGTAATGTAGTTCTTCACTGAGAATGTGGCTATCAAACATGATTTTTCAGTTATTAATTAATTCATTTTTAATGAAGCTGGAATCACACAGACATTTTGCCTTTATACATACATATTTCATCATTTGGAGTGTATGGTAGGTCTGGCTTGAAAGGATTATATGTTAAAAAAATCAATTTCTTTATGGAGAAAATGAATGGGATTTCTTCTCTGGAACCCAACTGTTGTGTTCTATTGAACAAAGGCAGCTGGTCATGTGATCTGTGAGTAGTTGACTCAGGATCAAAGAAGCCATTGGCAGAGCTAACTGAGTAGTTGACTAGACAGTGCAACCCTTAAATATAAATATACACACATATGGTATTTCAACATTGAACATGTCTGAACTAAATTAACCAAATGTTACCACATGTTAGGCGTTGCTACCATATTTTGTTTGATGAGCGTGTTTGACTAAAACTTTACCTGATGACAAGGTAAAAGCAATTGTAACCCAAAGAGTACTAGCTACTGAGCCCTCCTTAGCTATAATACAGAGCTAAATCTCACAAAACCACATTTTACATTAAAACCAAAAGGAGTATATAAGAGTGTATTTTTCAAAAAAATTAAGACTGTGTTAGGACCATTAAAAATATATACTGCCGTTCAAAAGTTTGGGGTCAATTTTTTATGAGTATGAATTTGTAATATTCTTGAAAGAAATCTCTTTTGTATACAAAAGCTGCATTGATTTGATCAAAAATACAGTAAAATTGTAATATTGAGATATATTTTTACAATTTAAAATAGCAATTTTCTGTTTTAATGTAAAAAAAAAATTTTTTTTTATTCCTGATGTCAAAGTTGAATTTTTTCCCCCCAGGATTTTTGATGCATCATAAGTTAAAAGGAACATAAAAGTACATAATTATCCAAAAAAAAAAAAAATGTTTTGTTTTGTTTTTTGTTTGTAACAAAAAGTCTTTTGATCAAGTTAAGGCATTCTTGCAGAATCAAATTATTAATTCTTTTAACAAAAATACATTCGTACTGACCTCAAGCTTTTGAACACTATTTAACAACAATAATATATGTATATATGTAATACTTTGATATATATAATAATGTCTTCTTTTTGTATTATTACAAATTAATCCGTTGACTATTATTTAAATATTGCATCACATCAGAATACGAGCGCAATAGTTTTCATCAGACTGCCATACTTAATTCATACTTTCTCGTTTCCATTTTTTACTATGACAATCGCACCGTTGTCTGTGTGTGGCAAGTGGAGCATCTGTTCTACTGGTTAAACTGCACCTCCAGGGATTATCTTGTTTATAAGCAACTGCAATTACGGCTGACCTCGGCGGTTGACTGGTCAAGGATGCGCGTACAGTAGGGTAATAATGGTGAGAGCACAGGGAGACTGGATGTGCTGGTTTGAAATGAGAAGAACAGATGCTCCTGCGTTACAAATGTGACCACTAAAGACCCTCGCTTAGACGTTAATCTGCCGAGCTGGAGCGCTTTCGTCCCAGTTAGATGACTCGCTACCACAGCAGAGCCAGCGGAACCATGCCAGAATACTCTAGATTGACTTGATTCATATTTTTAGGCAACATCTCATTTAGACTAAAATATGTGCCTAATAACACCAATGGGAATGATATACTATAGTGAGTTCATATTGCATGTTGTGTCTTTTTCATTCAAAGTGTTTTGTTATATAATCTCTTTTAGTGGAGACGGCTTCCGTTTTAGAAATGACTTCATCCGATTTAGAGCAAACAGCCTTTGAAAACAATGATATGTTGGAAGGTTTGTGATACACAAGCTACTAAATACTACTAATCACTACAAACTCCTCAACAAATAGGAGATGCTATAATATACTAACATAGATTTTAACTTGACTAGAAAATAGCGGTTTAGCGCTGTAAAGCTAGAAAATGCTGACAGCTGACAACGAATGAAAGATAATATTGAGGAAGTGCAGATGCGTAGGTGAGCGCCCTACATAAGGGTTCATGCCATGAGAGTCTGAGGAATGAAAACGAGGCAGTTTACAGCACAGTTGCAGACCGGAGCTGTTTTGCCTGACACGTGCGAATCTTTTCAATGCTTTAGGACCCGGAGCAGTTCAGGATGGCAACAGCGGCACGTCAACGGTCTTCACACCCACCTGTCTACTTCTCGTCGTACTTCTACAACTCTTGCTCAAGTTTTGATGCCGAAGATGTTTCCAGTGGATAAAGATCACAGTTTGTGTGACATCGCTCTCATCTTGGAGTCACAAAGCGTGCATGGGTTACCGAAAATGCCCCAAAATGTGCATGGGGTGCCCAAGTACTTCCTTTTAATAAAGTAATCATGCATTTCTTTTGTTTATAATAGAGTTTAATAATGTAACTTCTCTTACATTGCTAATTGTCGCACTGTTTTGCCCCACTGAACACAGTTTGTATTCACTAAAAGCAAATGACAGAGAGGCATGTTTAATTTGAAATATTTAATTTAATTTATTTTTGTGACTGTCGTTTTAATTTAACTCTGTAACCCTTAAGAATTCATATAGAATACAGTGTGATTGGGGAGTAAATCATTCAAGTCAAAGGCATGTGATAAGGAAGGGCATATGTCTCCATTTTGTTCTCTTTTTTTTTATTGTCGCTATATTTTTACTGTATCATAACTGTACAGCCGATCAAAATAAGCAGCAAAAAAGACGCAAGCATGTTTTTCGAGTACTTCTAATCTTTATTTTTACCATTTAACACACACAAAACAATGCAGTACATATCAGTTTGTTTTTATTTTGATATATTTTGATGACCAGAATGGCACAGTTGGACTATGCAGAACCATATAAAAGCTCTATATTAAATGGGTTTATTTACACCACAAAGTAATAAATCAGATGTTGGAAACGTTTTAGTATGTATGACAACATATGAATTGAAGGCATTTGGAGCTTTGTTGCAGGTGTAATGTAAACTTATTGAATCTAATTTGAAAGCCCAAAGAGCAATCTGCTAATAAATCTTGAGTTTTATTTTTGTTGCCACAATAGTTTTTCCAAATGTTTATTGTTGAATTCTGTCCAGAGTTATACAAACCAAACCGGGCGCTTAAATGTTCATTATTTAAACACGTCATTCCTGCTAACATCTCTGTATGTATATGCATATATATAACTTGTACAAAGGGAAAATATGCACACTTGTTTTTACTAAAATTGTGAAACTGTTTAATACAATGCAACGTTTTCTATTTTGTGTTATTCCCTTTTTCTGAAGCTGTGTAATTTATTTCTCAAATTGTATTATGGTAGATTCCAGCTCATTGCAGTTGCTCATTGTGAAATCTGATGTCTAAATATTGTGCTTTCGGAAAAAGCAGATGAGACTCATTGCCCTTCATCATCTCATCATGAGCAGATGTCCAGACGTCCTTTGTATTCTAGGAAAAAAAAAAGAAGTGAGAATTGATATGAAGTTGGTGTTGGTTGACCTCAAATCTATATTGCGATCTTCTTTTTTGGGGGGCTATATTTGATAGGATGTATGCCTAATGTTTCCCATTTTTTCATTTAAAGGAATAGTTCTGCCAAAGATTAAAACTCTCATCATTTATTCACCCTCATGCTTTTCCAAAGAAAGACATTTAACAACGACAAAAATCATACAGGTTTTGAAATGACTTGAGGGTGAGTAAATGATGGTTGTTTTCATTTTTGTACGAACAATTCTTTAAATATCACGAACAACATGTCAGATGGAAATCAGTCTAGTCCAGTGGATTTTAAGCACAAGTTGTATGTTAATGAAAGGGAATGTGATGTATGTGCAGTTTAATGGGTGACAGTGTGTTTTCTTGCCCCAAACTTGTATTGTTCAGCATTATGGCATCATTTTTTTCTTTTTTATCTGTTGTTCTTTAAGATATAAGGACCACAACCAGATTAAGAACAGTTCACGCATTTCTTAAATCTGTGAGACTAATTTTATGGCAGTGTTTTAATTTAAAATCACAAAATTTAAAAAGCACGTCCTGATAAATAATGTCTGTGAGTTCCTGGATCAAGGCTGATCAAAGAGAGAGCGATCAATCAATGCACCGTATTAACAGAAACACGAGGCTCATCTGTTCATGGCTGTAATTCAATTCACATGTCCAACTTGGTGCAAAGAATTGACTTAGTTCCCACCACCCAACCTTTAAAACGTTCATTTTGTTCCACTGATCTCTGGTGGTTCCCTGGAGAGGAGCAAATTAAGTATTTCAACTCCTTGTATTGTAAAGAATTTGTTGCGTCATATGTTTTTCCTTTAATGGAGATGGTGTGTTCATATTTAAGACTTACAATAATAAAATGTTGTATCTAAATAGAATGGGTCTGCAGTCTTATTGTAATTCTTGAAGGAAGGCGATATAGATAGATTTTATTATAAATTGTGTGCAAATATAAAATATACATGCATCTGAGTGGCCATATGGTCTCCTTGATATTTGAATTCAAGGTTATTGGATGCATGAATGTCTTGTGTAATAGTGTATAACAACTTTTCACTTGAAGATTTTTCAGGGTGGGTTTATAATTGGTCATTTTTGTATAGACAAACTCGTTGAAACCAGAGCAAATCCACATCAACACAGGCTGATTCAAAATCAATAATTCAAATCCCCGATTCTGAGAACACTTGAGCAGCACCTCGATCCTCTGGTTAAGGAAGGAGGTGTCAGTATGGTAAGTGTTTTAAAGGACTTTGACAGACACGGCCTGTGGGAGAGATGCACATGAGCTCTAAGTGCTGGGCTTGAGAAGGAAGCTGTGAGATCCATTCTGAAAGTGACGTGAGAGCCGTCTGTGATTGAAGTTAAAAAAGGACACTTAATTAAAGCCTCGCATTTCACTGTCTTTTTTTTTTCTCCCGTGATTGTTCATTGTAGATGATGGCTGTAGTATCACTCTCTGCTGCTAGTTAGAGAGGCACCAGGTGACAAACATGGCAGTATGGAAGACAATTAGGATGGCGCTGAGAGACAGCTGAAAACGCAGGTAAACAGTCGGATCAGCTTTACATATCTGAAAAAGAATGACGGCCACAAAAATATCAAATTGGATGGATGAATGTTGTATTTTGGAGACTTAACTGTCGTCAGTTAAGCCATGAAATTACCAAAAAGGCGGTTAGTGCATTCATGTATGTATAGCATCACATTAAAGAACGTCTCTCAAATGCATGTACTAAAATATTGTGCAATTCAAGATCACAAAATAGAAGGTGCAAGCTGTTTTTTTTGTTTGTTTTTTTGAAAAGGCACAAGTAAATATGAACAGTGCACTTATACTAGAAAACATGCGCTATTTTTAATTTTATTTTTTACAACCGAAAATGAAACCATTTAAATGCATAAAATAAATAATTTTACATTCTGCCATTTATGTGCTGTTGACTTCCGGCCTTTTATTTATTTTATTTTTTTATTAACCAATTCTTATCACTATCTGCATGTCTCATCAATGAGTATGCAATGTTGGAAAACAAGCTTTTGGGGGATTTGAGAACCAGAACCAAGCTGACTGAGCAAAATACTTTATGGTCAATCACATTTTTATATTGAAATAATGAAGATTTCTGTGCCACCCCAGACTGGTTGCTGGCCCCTCCCTGGCCACCCCTATAAAATCATTCTTTAGTAACTTGTACTAAAATAAAATATATAGACATAGTGTATTAAAAACTAATAAAAATGACAGACACAGCAAAATTACTAATGTTAAAATGAAAATGGAAAATATAAAAATAAAAACCTAATTCAAACTTTTAATGCGCTCTATACAGGCCAAGTTATCGCGTGTTGTAAATGTGTGTATACAGTATATGTATAAATATATATGTAATATAAAAATTATGATTACATATTATTTTCAAGATATAAATTATGTATGATAAAATTATTAATTACAATATAATTAGTTTATTGTGTAATATTTTACTAATTATATATTATTTGTATTATACAAACTATAGTATTTAGGCCAAAGCAATGGTTGATATTTTTGTATGTTCCCTTTTAAATTGTAGCTTATTTTTCCTTTTATTCTTCTTCTTTGTCGTCTCCTTTATTATTTACATTTTGCTGAAAACCCACTACATTGTCAATAACAGATTAGTTAATGGCAGGTTCAGATTGTGACAATTTACCCCATATAATGTAATAGCGTCCTGTTATTGGAGCATGTCGTCACAGATAGTATCTATTTATCTTTATCTTTTTTTTTTCCTGGACCTTTTTCATAGCCAAGATTTAATGAATGTGCCTATACAGAAATTACCATAATCCTACCCTGAGACTATAAATATAAATTTACTTGGATTCCAAGAAAAATTGTGGGAAGATGTCGGAAGTAGAATTTGGCTTTTAACAAACAAGCGGCAGATGTTGAAATTGAATATTCATAGTTTTAAAACGGGGGTAGTGGAGATGAGAAAAATGTTACATAACTTGGCGATTTCTTGCCAATCCTTTGTCTATAGGCTGTTAATGTTCGACATGAAAACAAAAGATGGAAGCTAGGGAATGATCACCTTTTATGCTTGGAGGTGAAGGTAGACAATCACCTCCCTTGAAGCAAACAAAAGCCTGCTCTGTTCCTCCCTTCTGTACTCCTGGTGGACTTCTTTATCTTAGTGCCCAGGAGCGGTGCTCTGGAACATGCCATGAGAGCTGCTTATTTGGAAAGACAAATATGTGAATAAATAAGCATTTACACAGACCGCATTAACTTGACATGACATTTCTTGGCTGCATTATCTTTAGGACCACAGCCAAACCGTGAGCGTATCGTCAATAGAGCAGGACCAGTGTGAGCAGAGATGTGCTAACAAGGTAAACTGTCTTTTAAAATATGTCAGCACTGGTAAACTTGTTAAAAGTGCTCTGTGCAATAGTTAAGCACAGGGTTAGGGTACAATGGCTTTTGACACTTTGAGTAGACTACAATTATAATGTTTCTGCTGCTAGATTAAAAGAATAGTTTGGCCAAAAATACAAATTAGCTTAAAATTTACTCACCCTCAGGCCATCCAAAATGTAGATGAGTTTGTTTCTTCATCGGAAAAGATTTGGAGAAACTGAGTATTACAACACTTGCTCACCAATGGATCCTCTGCAGGTAATGGGTGCCATCAGAATAAGAGTTAAAACAGCTGATAACAATGGTTTGAAGTTAAAAAATATCTTAACGCTGAATCTCTTTATTACAAACACCATTTTTTAATGGGCAGAAGTCATGTGGATTACTATGTTTTTATCAGCTGTTTGGACTCTCATTCTGACGGCACCCATTCACTTCAGAGGATCCATTGAAGAGGTGAACTATTCCTTTAAATCAGCTGCTCTTAGCAGATGTATATCACTGTGCACAGAGAGCAGAGGCCAGCTAAGATTACTTGTCAGTAGTCTTCTAGCCAAGGGATAGCACCTAATAAAATAAAGTTCTGTCATGACAACTCTCGGAGGGATTGGCATGGTAATGTACATGACAATCTTACTGTATTTGGTCTTGGCGGAATAGATCTGCTACGCTGCTGCTGCTGCAGAGCAAGTACCGAGACTTGCTACTGCCAATGCATCCACAACATGCTGCTGTAAGCATGTAAGAAATACTGCTGCTGCACATATAACACATATGAATAGCCCCCATATAGCATACATGAATCACCCCGTAGCAGATCTATACAGGTGGAGCTGGGGAAGGTGGAGGGTTTCTGAAGTGCGCTGCCAACTGCTACAGCAAACAAAAGCCAGGTATTTGAATATTGAGCAGCGAGCTCACTGGCTACCGATACAGGAGAGAACCAATCAGCTGCCATGTGACAATGATGTCGCCAGGTCAGATTGAGCAAGACCTATCAGACTGCGCCATCTAGAGTTTCATGCCAGAACTCTGTATTTGTAATGAAAATGTGTGTCCTTATGCAGAATTTTTTTCCTAAAAGTAGTAAGGCACTCAAGGTTGTGTTTCTGTATTTTGTGAACATACCGCATTATGCTTAACCCTTGAGCTATGAATATATAACAATATAATGTGACCTTTTGGACCTTTATTTCTTAATTAAAAGTAGGGATGCAGCGATGTTAAAATTCTGACTTTATTGAGCATTATTTCCATGTAGTTGCTGCTAAAGCAATAAAAATCCAATATTAAAATTCTCTATTATTTTAGTTAAAAATAAAACATTAAAAAACTAAACTCAGTAATGTCAATGAGATTTAGTAGAATTTGTTTTTAAAGACTTAACATGGTAACATTTTAATAAGGCCCAATTAGTTAACATTAGTTAATGCAATAACTAATTAACTGACATACTAGCATTACCTAACAATGAGCAAAACAATCTGTTACAGTAATAATCTTTTTAACATGAATTCATAAAAATACAGATGTTCATTTTTATTGATTAAATAATATTTTTTTTTAAATAATGTATTAGTAATTAACATTAACTAAGAATAATAATGCTTTAGAAGTCATTTTCATGGTTAGTTCTTAGTTTTTAAAGACTTAACATGGTAACATTTTAATAAGGCCCAATTAGTTAACATTAGTTAATGCAATAACTAATTAACTGACATACTAGCATTACCTAACAATGAGCAAAACAATCTGTTACAGTAATAATCTTTTTAACATGAATTCATAAAAATACAGATGTTCATTTTTATTGATTAAATAATATTTTTTTTTAAATAATGTATTAGTAATTAACATTAACTAAGAATAATAATGCTTTAGAAGTCATTTTCATGGTTAGTTCTTATTAACTAATGCAGTTAATGTTAGCAAATGAAACCTTATTGTAAAGCGTTACCATTAACAAAGGTAAAAGATAAGCATTTGCAATTAAATATCCAATATCAATAACCAATATGGTGCTGAAAGATTGCGCACCCCTTTTTAAAAGCTTCTATGACAGTACGTTAGATAACTAACAACCGCAAACTAGAAGAAAATATTCTTAACTTTATTACACAGAACACATACAACAGTCTTGTACTCATTTTCCAATAGTAAAAAAAAGAAAAATACAACTACGGCTGTACATGCACATTGAAAGAGCTGTGTGTTGCAAATGTTACGGTATCATACACTTTACAATCGTAACTAGATAGAGACAGTCAGAAAAATAAATACAAACATACAATACAGTTTTGCCAGGGAGGGCAAAATATTTTTTGCCAAGAGATTTTGGGTGAAACACTGTTGCTATGATTAGATGTAGCATGTATACTTGCAGCAGTTTTAAAATAACGACGATCAGGTCAGCAAAACTCCAGAGTGCTGTTATTGAATGTTTGCTATTTTGTTCCCTCAGACAACCATAAATATAAATATATCGATTAAAAAAATTAAGCAAACCAATTACATTCTGAATTATACCTGTTTGTAACTTAAATGGATTTGCAATGCCTTTTTATGTACACTACTGCCGAGCGCTGTGAAAGTTGTAGCGCCACAGTCTGTGGTTTGTACCATTCATCCCAGCAGATAAAATGACATCACTGTCAATAGCATCTTCACCGTCACAATATTAGTGTTTTAAAAAGTTAAATGACATACCAAAATGATACTCTAATAATCTACAGTACAACCTATTTATGTACTTTAACCTGTTACAAAATTCACCAGAAATCATTGGGCAATTTCACTCGAAACACAACTGAGACACTGATAATTAATGATAGGCCTACTTATCAAAAGATGATTTGATGTCTTTCGAAACCCTAAAATAACTCTATTTAATGAGTAAAACCGAGTCGGTTGTTTGCAAAAACGCATCCCAAGCAGAAGTTTCCAGGGTCGATACTGAATCTATTCGATTGCACTACCACATGATATTTTTTTAAATGCACGCAAGGCACAACGCTAACAAGGAAAAGGTGTGCTGATCTCCGCAATTACACCGTCCTCATATTTAACAATCAAATAAAACCAGGATAAATATTTGCATATATTTATTTTTTCGTTCACATACAGAATTTTTAACGGACTGCATGTTGAAGAACGGTGTCGCGCTTAATGTAAAGAGCTCATGAATGTCATGATCATGATGAGGTCTAATACCAAGTTCACACTGCACGATTTTAGCCCGATTTTTCACTCGCCGACAGGTTTTGCGAAATCGCCGACAAATGCCCGACATCGGAGGCAAATCGGTGCTCGTTCACGTGAGTGACAATCACGCAGTGTGAATTATCAAAGATGCGATCTGAGGGAATCACGGACACGTCGCCGACGCCCGCACACAGCGGCAACTTCAGTGTGAAAACAACGGCGATCCGACGAGTTTGAAAATCGTGCAGTGTGAACTCGGCATAATTAATATTTCAACTCGGAGTCTGAATTCACATGATCTGATATCCTTTTGAAAGAGCTCCGCCATGCTAACATCAGTCACAAAAACCATTCAGTCGGTCACAGAGCAGCATCCTTCAAATTAGAGTGCAGGAATTTCCCTTCGAAATCAACTGAAAGGTCATTTACAATCCATGGGCATATATTTATTTCTCTGTGATGTGTCAGACCTTGGACTTGAATCATTCCTCCTCAGCGTGTTTGTCTAGTGCTGTTGACAGTGCTCACTGAAGCTGAATGCAGACAGCTCACAGACAAGGTCTCATTTTAGCACTGTAATGTTAGCCGTGTGGGTTGAGTGCTTGTGACTGTCTGTATTTCCTTCGAGGTAGGCTACTTTTAAAGGAGTTTTCACCTAAATGTGAAAATGTACTCATCCTCAGGCCATCCAAGATGTAGATGAGTTTGTTTCTTCATCGGAACTGATTTGGACAAGTTTAGCAATGTATCACCTACTCAGCAATGGATCCTCTGCAGTGAATGGGTGCCGTCACAATGAGAGTCCAAACAGCTCACAAAAAAAATCATCATAATCGACAAGTAATCCACACTACCCCAATCTATCATTAACGTCAAACCATTGTTAGCAGCTGTTTGGACCCTCTTTCTGACGGCACCCATTCACAGATGATTTCATTGGTGAGCAAGTGATGTAATGCTACATTTCTCCAAATCTGTTCCAATAAAGAAACAAACTCATGTTGGATGGCCTGAGTGTGAGTACATTTTCAGCAATTTTTTTGTATTTTTTTTGGGGGGTGAACTGCCAGCTACTGATAAGTGGACATTTCTGGTGGGTCTCCAAAGTCCCTTATGAGCGTGTTGGCGGGTCGGCTTTCATAGAGTAACGAGTACGAAAGCACGGCTGCTAAATCAGCAGACTTATGAAAGGAAAGATATGGAATATGAAATAGATGAAATCTGAGATTACCATATTCTTCCACCTGCTCAGACATGCACAATTTGACATTTATATGACTTTATATTAGTGTGGAAATTAGTGCTAAAGATCACGGATAAATTGATGGTTATCACCCACAGATACGCAAGGAAATATGTCTGTTACTGGGACTTCTTTGTCCTCAGAAGTTATTAAATATCATCATTTTATTATATAATTTGTGATAACAGTTTTGGCTTCTGTCAAATTTACTTCACCAAGACTCAAGGATACAAAATCATACACACTTAAAAGAAACTCAGCACCAAAAACCTGAGAAAGAAGTTGAAACTCTCCAGTAGAGTCATCCAAAGCAAACTCAATTCGTTTAAAACAATACAAATGTCTCTGGAAAGGGATTTACAACAAAATATACAATGACTGATGTTTATTTGGTGGTATAAATGTGACCTGTGGAGATCAAGACTAATCACTCGTTTAGACTTTACAGAGGAAATCTCTATTCTTAGTGTTCAGATCAGTTCCTCTGTCCCATTTGGTACGTTTTTGATTATACAGCTCACAAAAGCTGTCATACAGCTAAAGGGTCTTTTTATATGAGGAACAGCTTTTATGTACTGTAGCTTACATTAGGGCATACTGTCTGCGTCTACATTAAAAACATCTCTAAGAGCAGCGTAAAACATATTAGACTAGGTAAGGAGTCTATCTTACTGCTTGTAACTATGTCGGCTCAGTACAAGAACACGTGCAGGTTGTCGTTGTGATTCCTTTGTCATTTGAACACCGTCAATGGCAGATGAGCATTGAGGATGCACTATGTTTTTAGGAACTGTGTGCTATATTATATTGAACGCATAGATCTTTTGTGTGTATGAACAGTATTTGCATACATCTGTACATGTACAGTAAATCAAGTATCACATACAGCATCCCCAAAAACATATTTGGACATTTATGCCACACGTTATGCGTGAATGTCATTGTATTAGATAACAAATCATTGAACCAAATAAACAGTAGCATTATCACTGAAGTAATGGCTGCTGAAAATTCAGCTTTACCATCACAGAAATAAATGACATTTTTTAAATACATTAATACATTGTGTTTTTAATATATATATAACATATTTCTTTTTTTTCTTCTTCTTTTAATGTTATTTCTGTGATGGAAAAGCTGAGTTTTCAGTAGCCATTACTTCAGTGATAATAATTTTACAATTTATTTTGTAATCTATTAGGTAAAATCATTGTAGTGGTGTTTATTTGGGTTTGTTTTTATAATAGAACTGTTAAAAAGTCAATGTTCATATTGCAGTATATGTAATGAACTACACTGGAGAAGTGATTTCATACATCCACTAAAAAACACATTTAAAGGGAATTAAAAGTAATTGGGAGAAAAATGTAAGAGGATGAAAATGGAAATGCAAGAAAAGTGTAGTAAGTTCAGAGAAAAGAGATAATTTGCTTGTTGATGCCATTCAGCCATTTTTAAGTGTGACTCGAGTGTCCAAATAGCTTCTGGGCCCACTGAAGCTTTTTTAAATTCTTTTATTTCTGTCTTTTTTGCTGTTTGTCATTTTTATCAATTATTTTAAAAAAGAAAAAAGAAAGAAAAATCATGTTATTTTACAGGAAAACAGGACACCAGTAACCTCAATTCACACTGTTCAACACTGAGCAAAAAAAACATTCAGTTATTCACGATTACATGAATTTTTGCTTCTCTTTTCACATACAAAAGGTTGGAGAGACACATATAGTGGTTCTATTATTATTTCTACCCAGCTAACAAACTGACTCCATTCACAGTCCAGTTCACTGTTTCAAAACACGGTTAAATCCCAAAGCATCTTATTACAGACCCATAAACCCACACTGACACTTCCCTTCAGAAACGAAACATAAGGCAAAATAATTCAAATGATGATGACGATAATAATAACTGATAAAGTACTCTTCTTCTCTGTGTGTGGGACTGTGAGTTTGTGTGTGTACGGAGAAACGGACACGCTGCTTTAGCATCAAAACTTGCTGAGGACCGAAAGAGTTAAAACGAGAATCAGAAGCAAGAATGAGCTGGTTGGCGATAAGGCTGCGTTGTTCACGTCGTGTATTGCTCCGGGGCCTGCGGGAAGAGAAACCCTACACGTTAACAACCTCCCAAACATCCACCGTGTGTATCATGCATTATGCTGTTCAAAGAAATCGCTGCGAATGCAGCGCTCAAACACCGTCAGAGTTAGCGAATGCCTCGGGGCGACAAGACGAGAGCTCATGTAATTGCATTAGGCAAACATTTGACACATTGAGACGCTCGTTGACTACGCCGAGTTACACTTGACATAGATTTTATGCATAAATTAACATGCATTTACTTATTAGAAGGAGCCTCGTACCGTACAAAATAATGCTGGCGTTTGTTATTCCCAGTGTGTTCATGGCCACGCAGGTGTAGTTCCCGTAATCCTCTTCCGAGACGTTAAAGAACGTTAGCATGGACTGTTTCCCCTTGTTTTCGATCTTGACCCCGTTGAGTCCGTTGAAGAGTCTGGAAGATTTGAGGTCAAGTTAGCAGTGTGTTATTAAAAACCAAATCTACAGAAGTGGACGGCTGACGGCACAAATTAACTCACCGCTCTCGCACAAAACTGCATGTGACGCAACTGTCTAATAAATAGACTTATATTCATATTTTTAATTAGCTGGCTCTGTCCAAACCATTTCTTAACGTTTGTTGAGCCTGGGGAGATCTGGGTTTGAATCTTATTTCTCTTCTTCTCTCTGCCTAAACAATTTCCTTTTTTAATTTCACTTAGTAGCACACTGTAAAAAAGCAACTACATATTTTTCAGTTTATGGGACGTTTCGTGTCATAAATACTAAGAAATGTGAATTAAATAAAAACTCTTGTTAGACCAACAGAATTCCCAAAATTTGTCCCACAGCTATTTTTAAACTGAACGATATTACCGAAATGTTAAGTACTGCGGAGTTCCCAGCATGCGTTGCAGCTGCCTTGATGAATTTATTGTTTTGCGAACAAACAAATATTTGTTACTTAAGACAATAGTTGAGGAAAGCTAAAAGTCTGCATTCAATTTTGCCATTACTTTTTTACAGCAAAAATAAAACAAAAAACTACTAGCCCCACCTGCGCTCCCCCTTATACCACTGAAAATCCGCCAGAGGAACGGCAGACGCCTCGCACCACAAAACTCCTTTCTGGCCGACAGCCGTTCCTGTGCTCCGAGCTCGCGAAATGACAGGTGGATCTGTGAAATGAATCGCAGATAATTGAGAAATTAATAAAAGCACATGAGAAATGGAAATTGGTTCCCTTTCATGGGAACTTCGAACTGCGTCCTCTAGGGGTCGTGACACAAATGATAACTAGCCCCTAAAGTTGCCCAAAAACATATTAAACCATACAAAAAATATAACAAGTTTAAAATTTTAAGTATTTATTGATCCCCAAGGGGAGAAGGTAATGGAAACTTGCAAAACGTCTCAGGTTACTTATGTAACCATTGTTCCCTGAGTAGGGAACGAGACCCTGCGTCCTCTAGGTTTCTTGCCATGCTGCGGATGCAAGCTTCAGACGAAGAAGTGAATGATGTGTAGCTCCCGGCGCTTATTTATACTATAGTCGCACCGGTAGTGACGTCATGGCTGTCGCCGGCCAACGAGTTGGTGTTTTTTCAATGTATGCTTCAGACACGGGTCACGACGAGGCGTTCCCCATAGCGACCCCTAGAGGACGCAGTGTCTCGTTCCCTACTCAGGGAACCATGGTTACATAAGTAACCTGAGACGTTTTAAATGAATGAGGTACTCACAATTTACGGTAACCTGAACAGTCCTCACGTCTGGAGGCGAGATGTCGTTTGACGTGATGCAGTCGTACGAGCCGGACATGTCTTTGGTGATTCCAGTCATTTCCACATATTCACCCTCAGTTATGATTCTATTACCTGTGTCAACACACATAAGATTAAACTAATTATTAACATATATAAAGTCATATTATAAAACCAAAGCATTATACAGTTACTCTGGGTCATGGGCGTCGCAAGGTCATTTTTAGGGGGGGCTATAGCCAGTTCCATAAACTGTACACGAATTCGTGATCGCCTCAGTCCCCTTAAAATTTCATCTGAAAACGGCGGCAGACTTTGATCGGCTCCTCCCCGTCTTTCAGCACGTTCTTTTTCAATCCGCAGACCGCGGCGGCGCAGAGCGAGAAACAGAGGACAAGGTGTGTGTTTATCGATAGATTGTTATAATATCTGCATCTGTGCAGTTCTTTGTCATAAATGCAGTTTACAAAATATCATGGGGGAGCAATCGGTTCCCCATCTACTGTAGCCTAAGTTTTCGCTGCGTTCACCCCTCATCACATCACAGGTTTCCTCCAGTGAAAATAAAGCACACATATGAAATAGGGTTGGGGGGGCTACAGTGATATGGTGAAGATATACGGATGCATGTTTGATACAGACAATATCTGTTACCATTCACAAATACTTTTGGCATGCTTATTAATATTTTATGCAGTATGACACAATATATATTATTGTTTACAGATATAATAATATTGCATATTATTTACTTATTTCTTCAAATAATAAGACATTGTATAAAATATTATTAAATATAGATTAAATTATTAACCTATTAACATATAATTTGTAAATATTTTCAATTTTTTTATATTTAAACAATATATTTTATTGAATTTTTATTATTTGTATTCACATATACAATCTATTGTATTAATAATTTATATTTATTTATATTTTAATTGTATATTGTTTACTCTCTTTACCTATCTTTAAATAAATGTTTGTAATATATATATTTTATACAAAACATATTATTTTGTTGTGCCTTTTTGTAAGTGAATCCAGGAGGTTTTTATAGCTTTCACATGTGAAAAACTTGATTTGAACACAAAATTGAAAACATAAATTCTCTGAAAGTCTCAAAATAGATTTGATCATTTCATTGAGCAACAGAAATGTGCATCATTGTTTCAGTTATTTAAACCCAACACAACCCTCTCTCATGACATGCAATCAAGAAAGGTTTCGCAGTGCATTGCATCAAACCAAGATGAAAGTGTTGTGATGCTGTTTGCTGCTCTTTAGTGTTTTTGGAGACAGCACTCCTAATTAGATCAGTTGTACCCTATTAAAGTGTCACAACCGTTCCGAGTCACTTTCATTTAACCGTAACAGACTCAGAATCAAACCCATGCCAGCTTTTTTGCTCAGGACAGAGGCTAAAGTGTCATAGTAGTGTCATGACACCACAAGCATTCTTGCCTAATTTAATCCACACTGACACCAAGTAGAGACAAGTACATACAAAGAGTTTTAGCCACTGTTCTGGAATCCGCATCTTATTCTGCTGTAATCTCTCTAAAATAAACTAAATGTATTCACCATTATCTCAATCTGAAGACAGAACAAGGTTGGTGAAATGTCAGTAAGACAAATATGTTACACTTGGCTGACCTGGACTGACCCTCCATTGTTGTTCTCTGCTTAAGTCCATCATTTCACAAAACCCACCTGTATCTCCGATTTTATTACCATACAGAGAAATGATTCAGATATTCCTCTGAGAGAGTGAAATAAAGTTTCACCCTCAGGTTCAGACAGGCAGTTAGTGTAAATGCCACTCACAGCACAAACTCCACATTATGCCATCTCATTAATACAGCCTCAGTCCTTCATTTAGTGAAAAGGTTGAGGATTGGACTTAGGTTGTTATTTTGTTTCTAATAACATGGCCTTGGGGATTGTGGGAGAGGTTGGTAATTATGCATATCTCCTTATATGACTCAGCCTCGTAATGCTTAAAAAGTTTGAGCAATCATTGAGAGGATGGTTCACCCCCGATTACGCTCAACATGTGACGGCCTTTCTGAGCCAAAGCCTGACAATTACATCCCCTAATTTTGAATAAAACTATTTTTATAAGACTCTGTCCATTTGACAAGAGACTAAATATTATAAACTGGTCTTTAAATGTGGACCGTAATGATGCCGCTGTTTTTTTGTTTTGTTTTGTTTTTTGCTCAGTGTAGTTAAGTTTTAAGGGATAGTACTTCAAAATTAAACTTTTATTATCATTTACTCACCCTCATGTTGTTCCAAATCTTAAGTGGAAGATATTTTGAAGAACTGTTCCCTATCTGTCGGTCACTACAAGTTATGTCGTGACAACATAGGGGGGGGTTCACTTGGGAGCCCCAATCCTCTCTGACTTTAAGAGAAAACGCCAATGAAATTTGGCTAGTGGATTTTACATACCTGAGCCACTCCCCGTGCATACGGGTATAAATAGGCGACAGGTGCATCCACTCTTCAGATTTTTGTTTCAGAGCCGAGTGGATGATAGTGCTTGATCTCCACAAAGCCCTTTACTCATCTGACTGGAAGAAGCTGTTCCTGGTTGGCATTACGGTGCAAACAGCGGTGTCCCTGTCATCAGTGATTCCCCTGGGCACTTCAACTGAAAGAGCAGTTTCTCTAAAAGAGCAAATCATGGTCGGTTCACATCTTTTTAAAGATGCTGTTCCGTCCGTGTTCTCTTGGTTGCGGTTGTTGCCTGTCCTCTGTTGACGGACACGATCGTTGTCTTCAGTGTCTGGGTATCCAACACGCTGTAGCTGCATTCGTGGATGACTCATGCGTTCATTGCAAGCATATGAGCATGGCTTCGCTGCAATCTCGCCTCTCTCTCCTCACGGGGAACAGAGCGGCACCCTCTGTCTCTACCCGTCCCGGTTTCCCTGTCACGAGCAGGGGACCGCCGGCTAGAGCTCTGGGAGATCTGAGGGTTACAGTGAGAGCTTCTCTGTCGGGCACCTGCGTCCAGATCTCTGGGACCTCCACGTGTGGCTCTGGATGGGACGTGGCAGACTTAAGTGATCTGCCACCGGCGGTGGTAAACACAATCACTCAGGCTAGAGCTCCCTTGACGAGGCAAGCCTATGCTCTAAAGTGGAGTCTGTTCTCGCCGAGAAGACCCCCGAAGATGCACAATTGGAGTAGTGCTTTCTTTCCTGCAAGAAAAGTTGGAGTGTAGGCTGTCACCCTCCACCTTGAAAGTGTATGTGGCTGCTATCGCAGCACATCACGATGCAGTGGACGGCCGGTCCCTGGGAAAGCACGATCTCATCGTCAGGTTCCTGAAGGGTGCCAGAAGGTTAAATCCTCCTGGGTTACCCCTGGTGCCCTCCTGGGATCTCTCTACTGTCCTGGCTGGCCTTCAGAGGGATCCCTTTGAGCCGCTGGACTCAGTTGAGCTTAAGTTCCTGTCTGCTAAGACAGCGCTCCTGACCGCGCCCACTTCCATC